GAGTGCAATGCTGCAATCTCGGTTCGCCACAACCTCTGTTCCCTACCACCCCCCACCACCACCGGGTTCAAGTGATTCTCCTGCCTTAGCCTCCTGAAGTAGCTGGGATTACAGGCATCCATCACCATGCCCAGCTAATTTTTTTTGTATTTTTAGTTGAGATGGGGTTTCACCATGTTGGCCAGGCTGGTCTTGAACTTCTGACCTCAGGTGATCCACCTGCCTCAGCCTCCCAAATTTCTGGGATTACAGGCATGAGCCACCACGTCCAGCCATGGATAACCATCTCTAAAAGTTAACTTTCCGCCTCCTGGGTTCAAGCAATTCTCTTGCCTCGGCCTCCTGAAGTAGCTGGGATTACAGGTGCCTGCCACCACACCCGACTAATTTTTTTGTATTTTTAGTTGAGATGGGGTTTCACCATGTTGGCCAGGCTGGTCTTGAACTTCTGACCTCAGGTGATCCACCCACTTTGGCCTCCCAAAGTGCTGAGATTATAGCTGTGAGACACCGTGCCCAGCCCATTCTACCATTTTCAAAGCTGTTTTTGCTAGAAGATTATCTTTGTATCTTCATGCCAACTGAGGCCATAAAGTCAAAATTTAAATTCGTACAATCTCGAGGCTTTAGCCTGCAATTCTTGGCAGCATGATTCACAAGAGAGCTCTGAATTTTTAGTTCGTAAGCAGATAATACTATGACCAAACATAGCTTCTTCTCTAGCTCCATTAAAAGCTTTTTACATTTACAAAAACATTGTTCCTCCAACAGAAATGTGAAAGAAAATAAATGTGGAAATATCTCCATCATAGCTTATACTACTAGAAATGGTTCCTTCACTCTGAGACATGAAGGTTTGGCTGTGTTCAAACTGATTATTGTAGTGATTATAAATGCTGTTTGGAAGCTTGTTTTTGAGCATTTATCTGATACCATCAATTTTCCTCTAATGTAGAAAAAGAACAAAGAATTTTCCTTTAAGTTTCTTCTCATTTTCACAAATACTTTGGTCACTTATTTTAAGAGTTTTTGATTAGCTCCTAGATCTTTTTCATCTGACCTTGAGTATTTGCTTTTTGAAGCAAAATTTATATACAATGAAACACATGTATCTAGAGCATACCATTTGATGAATTTGGCAGATAGATGGGCCCATGTAACAACCATCTGATCAAAGTATAGACTATTCCCATCACCCCAGAAATTTCCCATTGTGTCCCATTCTAATAAACTCCCAACCCTATAGGCAACCATTGTCCTGATTTCTATCTCCATCTGGGCCAGGTGGCAAAATAAATCTGTGATCTCTTTGGACCATGATCTCTTACAAATTGAAGTGTGTATACCACATATCCTATCAATGGCACAGCCAGCAGGGTACTGGGCATGCAGGTTACTGGGCATCAAAGGACAGAGCTATCTTCTTCTCAGTCAGACTCCTCTCGCTCCAATGGGACCCTCGAGGCCACAGAATTGTCCTCGCACTCTAGTCATGGATCTTTCTAAGTACAATGGCTTTTAACGTGATCTAGTTTTACCCCAGTCTGCAAGGGTACACGTTAGCAAGAAGGCAAATGGAATCAGTATTCTTTAACATGTTTATTTTTTATTTTTTTAATTTACTTGTTTATTTTTATGTATTTATTGGAGACAAAGTCTCGCCCTGTCACCCAGGCTGGAATGCAATGGCACCAACTCAGCTCACTGCAACCTCCACCTTTTGGGCTCTAGCAATTCTCCTGCCTCAGCCTCCCGAGTAGCTGGGATTACAGGTGCATGCCACCACAGCTGGCTAATATTTTCTATCATTAGTACAGGCAGGATTTCACTATGTTGGCCAGACTGGTCTTGAACTCCTGACCTCGTGAGCTGCCTGCGTAAGCCTCCCAAAGTCCTGGGGTTATAGGCATGAGCCACTGCGTCCAGTGCTATTTTTAAACAGCCTTTTCTTTCCCACTATCATTCCAAGGAAAAAGGGCATGATTTGTGACCAAGAATCAAGCCAGAAACCCTTACTTTTACAAAGCCTGTGATCTGAGATGCCATTTCCTACCTTCCTACCCAGAACTGGATGAGGACAGTTTGAATTTTTTGTTGGCAGGCAGAATGACTGTTCTTGATTATGAGTCAATGAATGATTTGGGTTTAATTTGCCAGCTTAATAGAATTTAGTAACTTTCATCTTACCTTCTCTGGGAAATTTTCTTTTTAACAATATTTTAGGATCTTTTTATATAACGTACCTGTGTGGCATGTAGTAGAAAGCAATTTAGAAAGAACTTTCACTGTAAGTGCCATGAGTGATATAAGAATTCCAATTATTCCAATTATTGTTACACTGTGTCCCTCTCCGTCCCTTTATCTGTTGTTTACTTGAGGAATTTCATTGCCAACTTAGAGTATTATTTCTCTAGGAAGAGCAATATCCAGATTGTGCCTAAATTCACTTAGATTCAGATAGTCCTATCTACTGTTAAGAAGGGCCTTTATACACACACACACACACACACACAATCACATAATCAACCAAGAACTATTCCCGATTTCAGAGCCAGCCTCGCCAAATGATTTTTTTTTAAAGAGAGAGGAGATTTGAGCAGTTTAGCATTTTCAGGCTTTTCAGCTGTTCTGATTTTGTTACCACAGCACCCTCCCATTCTATTCTCCCTAAGCGCCTAGGACTTCCATGCTTGCAAAACTCCTCCCTTCTCCCAACCTGCTCAATTACAGTCACACTGTGCAGGGAGTAATGCATTCATCAGCATGCCAATGAATAACTCATTCTTTCAATTCACTCAAAAAAATATTGATTAGCTGTATTTACCAGGACCATTTCTATGCATCGAGCATTGGTTACTATAGTCAGCTCAGGCTGCTATAACAAAATATGATAAACTGGGTGACTTAAACAACAGCAATTTATTTTCTCAGTGTGGGGTGGGGGTGAGTACTAGGGGGGTAGAAGGAGGAGGAGAGAAAGAGAGAAAGATCTTCTTATAAGGCCACAGTCCTATCAGAGTAGGGTCCCACCTCATAACCTCATTCAACCTTAATTACCTCCTAAAGACACTATCTCCACACACAGTCACACTGAGGGTTAGGGCTTCAATATGTGAACCTGGGTAGGTAGGAGGGCACAGTCTGATCAACAGCAAGCATCTCAAAATAAACAAAACAAAAATTTCTGCCCCAAAAAACAGAGCTGACTTCTAGGGGCTTAGTGTTTAGTCCTTTTACAATGGCCCTTCCTGCTTGGACTCTTCTGAAAGCCCCTCTTCTTCTCCCTCCTCTCAGATGTGGGTACCCCAGGATTCAGCCTCTAGACCCTCTTCCCTCCTCTGCGTACTTTCTCCAGGATGATTGCAACTACTCCTTGTGTTTTTACTTTCA